GTTAAAAAAAGACAGAACACCCTTGGCATTTAACCGAATCGGCCGATAAAATGACATTTAGGTTGCACTCATGGGCTATGTTGCCAAATATTGCTGCAAATCTGCGGTTACTGATTTTAATAATTTGAAATTATTTCTATTTGTGTATCTATAAAATGCCAAAGTCATTGAATAGTCAGAGTCAGAAACTCGTTGCGTCTCTAATTAGTTTCTTTGAACAGGAACGAGATAATGGGGGCCCCTTTTTGCCATTAAATAGCGTTAGAGAGGTGAAGTATATTGATACTATCAAATATAAATCGTCTGGGGCTTTAATTGGGAATATTTTTCCAGCGTGTTGCAGCTGCACTGAATATTGGTATAACCTTTGTGAGTAAAATCCAATGTAAAATCTCTCAAAAAGTTAGGGATAATTTAGCGTTAAATTCACCAAAGAAAAAACGTCCACATTAGAAGCGGGCTACGAATCAAGATCACCTTGATGTTAGCTCTATTGGCAATTAAATTTACGACGAAAAGTGAGTAGTTTTTTTAGATTGTGTTCATAATACACTATCTATACATATAAAAATCGATGTTTGTTTGCTTTAGTGATAACAAATTTTACATATGGTATGTCAAAGTAAAACGAAAGCTAATAGCGGCAACATTGCGACGTGCTTATGTCATTAATTTTGATCACGTGCATACACTGTTTAATTAATTTCACTATACCTTGGAAGTTTTCGCTTTGATGCAACCAAATATTACGCCTGAATAACAACAACAAGAAGTCTGAAGAAAAGCTTTGTGAAGGAAACATGGGAGACATCATTGCAAACGTGTCAAGTTTTCAGCACTATTGGCGAAATTCCTATACCAATAGATGGCGCTAAATTACGCGAAAAATAGCAATATGTCTGCCGAACTCAGTGAACAACAAAGCCAGTTTTTTGAGGTTAGTTTTTGTTAAATTGTGTTTTATGGTGTTTTTGTGATTTATATAACGGAAACAATACATAAAATAAATAATATTCTGTAGAAAATTGAAAACTTCCAGAAACAATGCCGGGGGCCAAATGCAAACTTGCTTTGTTGTTCACTGAGTTTTGAGTACCAAAGTTGATCATAGATGTTGCCTACTCTGGGGCCTTTAGCGAAAAGATCTAAAGAGTGCATATCACCAAATTCTAATACTCGAACATGAAGAACCGGTATACAGAGTTTCAGGTGTGCGGCAAACCTTCGAGGCATATATGCCTATCTTGATGATATCACAGTTGGTGGTAAGACTCAGCAGAGCATAACAAAAATCGTCAAAAATTCTTTGGAGTTGCTGAACTATCAGAAATATTTCGATTATTTTTTTGTTTGTTTTATTTTGATGTGTACACCAGTACAATAATTTTAACCCTGGAGCGATATACAGTAGAGCAAATTGTATTTTGAAAATCAATCTTCTGTGATTAAGACATATCGCGCTGTTCGTGATTATTTCAGTGTACCCACATTATCGTTACTATTCGCATTATAGTGCGCAAATTTGTGAGGTTTGGGTTTGTGCAAGATATGAGAGTAGCAGAACGTTTATGTCCAGCTCGTTCTGTTGGCAAAGATTATTGGTTGTCAATATTGAGGTGTGACTGCAGATCCCCGTACGTCTGTTAAACGGCTTCGCAGCAATAGGGAACTTGCACATTTTTTTTTTTTTTTTTCATTTCAAAAATGTGTTCTACTACACTAAAGACATAGCCATGCCAAATATCAAGCATTAAAAATCAGCCGTTAATTTTTTGTAAATATTTGAAGTTCCGATCGAAACATCGCCATTTGAAACGACTGATTAATGTGACGTCACTCGGCAACAAAATTCCGTTGACAGTGACGAGCACTTCGAACTTCGAGCAGGTAGATTAAGATTATGGTTTTGTTGTTATGCATGCAGTTTTTGATAGATTTGACATTGACGACACCAGCAGCACATGACGTGGCAGCGGCGCGACCTGATTATTACTGCCTTGTGACGTCACGACCCATGAGAAAACGTTTTCGATCGCGTCATGAATTTCGAATTATTTGGTATTTTCAATTGAAGATTTTGGACAGCAGAGATAAGATATTACTTTTTTTTCCTAATTGCATCAATTATTAGGCCGTTTGTCATTGTGTTTTATTATTTATTCCATTTTTAATTTAAAGTGCAAGTTCCCTATTGGGTATAAGCGAGGCTACCACACACAGAATTTTGCAGAGAGACTTACTTGGCTCTCCATCCATAAAGATTCAGCTTACCGAAGACTCAAAACCAACTGACCATAGGCAGCGTCGTGAATTTGCTAATTGGTTGCCTCAAAACAAGGCCATTGATATTGATAATGAGTTTTGTAACAAGCAACATTTAATAAGTTGATAAACAGAACTGCCGCATATGGATGGGGCAGTGAAAATCCCAGGAAAATCGATGATAAACCAATGCATGCTGATTGCTGAACGTGTAAATCTGTGATGCGCCTTTTGGCTTGAGCCCTACTTCTTCGAGAATGAAAATGGTCGACCAACCGCACAATGCTTCGTGACTTCTTGTGGCCTGAAATAATAAATATAGATCTTAATAATGTATGGATGGTTCCAACATGTCACACAGCAAGAGAAACCATTGACTCATTGCAAGCACAGTTTGAAAGTAAACTTCCTTGGGGATGTGTCGGAAATGTGCTCAGATGTGTTCGAAAATTATGGCAAAATAATGATTGTGGCCTGCGAGATTACAATATGGAGTTTCTGGGGTCATCAGACCCATAAAAAGAAAACCTCTTAGACTAAAAACAAACATAGTACATAAACACATACCTTAAACTGAACTCTCAGAGTGAGTGTTTCCAACAGACGCATACAATCCAATACATCTTTACAAAAACTTTAAAAACAAGTTACAAAAACTATAAAAATAAGTTCAACAAAAGTGGAACATGTCACGAAGCTGCTAAGGGCAAACAGGAACCACACATAACCTAAACTACAATTCCAAGTATAAGGAGGACATGCGCAAGAGCGCAAGCTGTTCGGAGCCGGTGGGGAAGGTACGACCATCTCAAGAATCCCGATTGAGTACGTTAACGGAAGCTTCGCAGTAAATGAAAAAAGAAGAACAAGAAAACGCAAGCAGAAGAGGAGAACGACGTGACATCTGTCCAGAGAGAGAGACATAAAGCAAATATTTTTGGAAAACAAATATTTCCAACCCCAATGCCCTATTGTGAAAATAGTATCCCTTAAATTATGTTGTTAAAAATTAAATCGGGTTCAAAATTGAACACGTTGTTCACGCAGGTAGGACAGGGCTCTTCTTGGCTCTAGTTATTTCCATTTTCTCCAGTAAGTCCAATTTCCTTCCCTCATCACATTGATGTAAAACTTTAACGTTTTCAGGAATGGAAATGTTATGTCCTGAGGTCAACAAGTGCTTTGCGAAGGCGGAATTAGTATTGGTTATATCAGAATCTCTATATTTCTACATAGGAAGCTAAAATTTTCAGCGATTTTTATTCTGGTAGAGGACTACTAACCCTGCAAAATATTCAACTCATTTGGACTTAAGTATAGATACCGAGAAAAAATTGCGTAAAGGAACTTGGGGTGAATTTTTGAATTTTTGACTTCTTCTGAGGTCATTTTTTCATATATTTTGGCTACAAATTCCACAATAAATCACTGTATAGAGTTTTGGGGGTCTCAATTGATCGTCTAAAGTAGAAATTTTCACAGAAAAAAAATTGAAAATTATTGACCATTTTGGATAATTTTTGAAAAACTTTGACTGTTTTTCTATCATAGATAGAAAGCTGAAATTTTCAAAAACTTTGAATAACCATAACTTTAACATACCATATAAATACCAAACAAGATCGACAGAAACTATGTCGTCCAGGTGTCACGAGAACGACTCATTGGGTTCGTGGCAAAAATCCACTCAATTCAGATGATTGCCAACTTTTCAGTTTGTTCATAAGTGAAGCTTGGATTCTTCAAAAATAAAAGCAGCAGTTCCATTATTTGAGAGATTATCTATGGATTTAATACGACCATTACCAAGGTCGACTAACAATGAGTATATACTCACTGTAATCGACGAATAGGTACTCTTGATTTCCTTCTGCTTTTCCCTGCCCTGATGTTTCAGCAGTTTCCATCAAGAAGCACTTGACAAGTTTTCTTCAACTAAATATTTGGAATGCCAAGTTTTATACACTCAGATCGTGGATCTGCTTTAATGTGTTCAAAAATTTCTCGCAAGAGCGAGGAATAGCTACCAGTAGATAGAACTACCATTTGGATAACAATTCAATTAGCAATGAAATCCCAAAACTTGAACGTGAATAGATGGGAAATCTGTTCTGGATGAATCATTATATGTATTGTATCAGATCTCTCCTCCGCACAGCAACAAATGCGGCTTCACTAAAATGTTTCATCACAATAGAAAATTAACTACTATTGGCGACTCATTGCCATCTTCACTGACTTCTATGGGAAAAGTTCTGGGCAAATATGAACCCTTAGTTGAAGAAGTTGAGGTGATAAAATCAAATCCGCATTATCGTTTGTGAGATTGCAAAATATCTGTTTTACTCAAGCATTTTTCACTCGATAGTCGAGGACATGTATCGTATGAAAATGAAGAAATCATCCAAACTCAGTTAAATTTACCTCAGCCAGTTTAGTTATAAATTTACGCTCCTTGGTTTGCAAATGTGGTGCCTGGAATAAACTTTTTCCCCTCCTGCAGGGTATAAGTATAGGTATAAATCAACGTGAATACACTTCAGGCTTTACAATGTGTCCATCAAAAAAAGTACTTCGCACAGAGCCACATTTCCCTTCGGCACATAAACATATATCTTACTGCGGCTGAGTTTCAAAACCGGCATCCCGCCGATGCCGCATCGGGATTACACAATCCAGAAAACTGAAAACGGGATGCTCTTGGTGAAAACGCCAGTTTGTGCGACGTCGGCAACGTGAACGGGAGCGTTGCGATTTTCCTTGTCGAAAATACATTTTCCCGAACACGTCGCGCGCGCGTAGTTTTTTTTTTTTTTTCGGAAAAGACCGCGAGCGGAATAGCTTTCGACGCAAAAGTTGCTCATTTTTCATCGTCTTCAAAAAGAAACTTTGCTTTATGTCTTTATAGAGAAGTTTCAGACTACTTAAGAAAGTTTTCGGTCGAAGAGCGAACATAGTTAAATTTATATGCCTCTTTCTATATTATGCTTTCGAAGAATGTGACAGTGGGTTAGATTCTATGCCCAAGTTTTTATTCGGAAAACGCGGAAATAGTGTTGAAGTGAAGTGTGATTTATTGAAGCGAAAAGTGGTTTATGTTGAGTGGGTTTTTTTTTCTGGTGACATTCTATTAATAACTGAAGCCTGAAAGTAAATGTAGTGTTGTATTGTACTTTGGATTTCCTAATGGTATCAACAAAATGTTTTCGACTATTATCTTGGCGTAAGTTTTTCATAATTTGTTCAAATCTATTGGATTTGGACACATTGTTTTGATAACATGTAATTGTAAGTTCATTAGTTCAGTATCAGAATCAGTATCAAGAATTTTTGCTGAACACTTGGTTTATACCTCCAAAACTAGGACTTTGTGTAACTGCCAAATTTTATGATGAATTAGGTGTATGAAAAAATCTATTACTGGCGAGGTTAATAATTTTATACGTTGTTGAGAAAGAAATTCCTAGTGACACGTGGAGAAAAAACGACGAAGTGATTCGTTTTTGGGTTTAGTGAAGAATCACTTATAAAAGAACAGGTTAAACAACTTCAGTTGGCATTATAAAGAAGACCCGTTAATTTCAAATTTAAATAAGGCTCTAAAATATATTAATAGCAGCAGTTGCCAAACTCGATAAACTATCTCACCTATTCTACCTACTATCTGCTTTCAACTTATGGCACAATTTTAAGACCAAGATCTCAAAACATTCCCAATACAACTCATCAAACATGTATTTATTCAAACAGTTTATTCCGCAAACTATGAAAAGGTGAACAAGATAGTGGTTTGGCCTCCATGATAAATCATAAATTTTGCAATTTTTCAAAATGCCAGGACCATGTCGTAAATCAAGAGGACTTGGTTGCTATACAATCTACTCGATCCAATATATAAATCGTTGTAGCTAAACATGATCAATACGGTAACTGCTACCAAAAGAGGATTGATGTAATTTCACCAATTTCGAATCTTGATATCAAAGTACACCTGGAAAATGTTCTTCTTTCTCACCATCTCACCTGATTTCAATTCCTCGTTCGCAAGAGAAGGGAATGGTAAGTATCTTCGACCAAAGTGGTGTTATCATTAACAAAGATAATGTCTTACCAGCAATAACTGCCAATTTCAAAATCAAAAATGAAAAAAAAAAAAATCATCTATTTGTGGTCCAATAAAGACTCCTACAATGGATGACTGTTTCGTAACCATTGTATTGTAGGTACCTAACATATCTAATAGAATTATAAGACTTTAAATATGGGTCATTTTAGATATACGAATATACTTGGATTTCTGCCTTTAGAAATGTTGAGGGCTAAAAATTGCTTTAAGAAATCTATTACGACTTTGTTAAGAGCTAAGAGCCTCTCAGGTCAATTTCCAACGTCCAAAGACAAAAATCCAGTTGGGAAAAATTGTTTTTTCAAATGAGAGGAACAGGAGAAGCATTTAAATTATGGTTATCTTCTTTTATTTATAGTTGCTATTTATAGATCCACAATTCCAGAATTCTTTCGTAAGCATATTTTGTCATTTGGTAGATATCTATTTACTTAGGTACTGAAATAGGTAAGTGAATGTAGGGATAAAATTGTTTTTGGAAAAAATAACTATTTTTGAACGATGACAATTTTAACAAACGGGTGTGGCTTGGATTTCTGGAATTTTTTATGTGTTAGTCAAATAGTTTTACGCAAGAATAAAAACTGCTCTGTTGTTTGCCAATCAATAATTCAAATTTTTCCTATGGAATTCAACAATCAATTATGCAAAAGTTTTATTGAAGTTGAAAAAAACCTTACCAAATAATGTGTAAAATGAATGTAAACATTATTCTATTTGAACGCCATTCTACTTATCCAAATTATTTTGGCGAATTCATTGTCAATTTCTCTTTCAGCATTTTAAGGAAAATAATAATGGAATAAGCAGTTTTTTTGAAATTATTTCAAGCTTTAGAAAGGCGGTTCTTTCATTGCTGAGAGGTCAGATGAGCGAAATTAACACACAAACTTGATTGATTGATTTTTTTATTATAATAATATCTAATTGTATTTTGAAATTAAACAGTTCTGGCCTGGTATACCAGTTATATTAACCAATTGCCACGCTAATTGGTCCCCAGTAAATCGACGTTAAAATTTTGTAACTCATGTACACGCCAAACTTCCTGGAGCTGCTTCATAACACCAAGTCAGACAATTTTGTTCATATCTTCAACCTGGGCCATGCGGGACATTGGCGCGCTTGCTCTTCGTGAAGTTGTCATTCTGACGTCCCTGAGAATAGTGATACATGTACGTGTTCCAATCGACTGTTTCTTATATTAAAGATATCACATTTGTCGGACAAAAATTTCGTGACATTGGGAGGGGGGGGGGGGGGGGGGCGACAATATATACAATCGAAGAGATTAATAATAACATTGAATATCGAATTACCTGACCCTGATGAAAATTTCGAAACTGAAAAATGTTCCGAAAATCAAAATTATTATGAAGAGACAAATTTTGAAGAAAATCAAGTCGAATCTGAAGACGAAAATTTTCAGTTACCAGCCTTGGATGCAATGAGTCAGCATTACCTTTAAATGCTTATCAAATCAACCTTTTATTCAAATAGACTATCCACCGTGTAAATTATTATATGACACAGGAAGTCATGCCTCTTTAATAAGACCCTTAATCGCGGGAAAATATTTTTCAAATTCTACAATTAATTCACAAAACAAATTAACAACTTGATGGGTACAAGAAAAACCCAAGGAAAAATTATTGTCTCAATTTTACAAGAATATAATATTCAAAACAACATCGAAATGATAATGTATAATTTCCATGAGTATTTTGATGGAATTATTGGAATCAAAGCATTACAAGAAAATAATTCATACATAGATTTTTCCAATATGCTTCTTTGTAATAATAAAATAACAATTTCATTTCAATATAGAACAGATTTCAGAAATCAGAATTTTGAGATTGCAAGCAACTCAATTCAAGTATGTTATTTCAATACAAACAATGCTGACGGTGTTGAAATTCTTACACCTCTAATAAAAAACGAAACATATTTTATTCCCTCGACAATAACAACAGTCATGAATGAGATGGTGCCTTTAGAAGTACACAACTTATTGAATAAGCCTATTATTGTCTCATATAATATTAATAACTTGACGAAAATAAGTTTACCTTATGCTGATGAATAGTTTGAGATATTTAATATAGAACAAATTGAATGACTTCATTACAAAATGATGAATATGCAAATGACCGTATAAAGTCACTACGTATTAATCATTCAAACTCAGAGGAATTTGATGCTTTAAAACATGTAATTAAATCTTTTCCCAAAATTTTCCACAAGCCAAATGAAAAATTAACATTCACGAATCAAGTCAAATATGAGATTAAAACAACATATGAAATACTAGTACACAAAAAAACGTATAGATATCCGCATGTGCATGAACAAGAAGTAAATTCTCATGTCAAATAAAGAAAATGTTAGAGGATAACATAATCAGACCATCCTGTAGTCCCTGGTCATTCCCTTTGTGGATAGTACCTAAGAAAGATAAACAAAAAAACTATTGATGATAGATATCCACTACCTATTATCACTGATATATTAGACCGATTTGTTCGTAGTAAATATTTTACGACACTGGATTTTAGCCTCTGGATTTCACCAAGTCGAGATGCATGAAAATTCGATACCCAAGACAGCATTTAATGTTGAAAATGGTCATCGCGAATTTAACAGAATGCCCTTAGGATTAAAGAACGCACCAGCAACCTTCCAAAGAGTGATGGATAATGTTTTACTAGGATAACAGAATAGAATATGTCTAGTATACATGGATGATATAATATTTTTTTCCACTCCACTTCATGAACATGTGAAAAATTTGAAGAAAGTATTTGAAAGACTCGAGAAGTTTAATTTAAAAATACAATTAGACAAATCGGAATTCTTACACAAGACAGTCGAATCCTTAGGACATGTAATCACGCCAAATGGAATAAAACCAAATCAAAAAAAAATAACCGCAATTAAAAGATTCCCAATACCAAGAACGATGAAAGAAATAAAATTTTTAGGATTAATAGGTTATTACCGGAAATTCATAAAGAATTTTGCCAAATTGACAAAACCAATGACATCTTGTTTTTCTTAATAGCTTTGAAACTTGTAAAAATGTTTACCTACGAGCGTGCGGTAAAGTGCACTTTACCGCACGTATTTGAGAATGGAAAGTATCACTTTACCGCACACTATGCGGTAAAGTTAACTTTACAGCATAGTGTGTGGTAAAGTTAACTTTACAGCACAGTATGCGGTAAAGTGGACTACAAAGTGTGCGGTAAAGTGCACTTTACCGCATAGTGTGCGGTAAAGTAGAATTTGATATTTATAATCAAAATTCCTTTTTTTTTTCAGAAAATGGATTTTTGATCATTCCTAAATTTAATCTTATTTCATTAATTAATCTGATTCATTAATTAATTTTATCAATGCTTTTTTGGAGATGTAGATGCTCATAGGTAAAATGTTGTACCTAACACATGCGGAAAGTGCCTTTACCGCCCTTGCGTGCGGTAAAGTATCACTTTCCGCATTTGTTAGGTAAATAACTAATAAATGACCCCATATTACAACATCCTGACTTCAAGAAACCTTTTTTTATTCACAACCGATGCCTCAAACTATGCAATTGACGTCAAAGCGAGTAATGTACCAAAAGAAATCTTACCTATTAGATTAATAAAGGTAATCATATCGGGTCTTGAAAAAAAAAACCAATCAAAGATTGCTATGGTTTTTTAAACGTATGTCTTAGCACTATTTTTCTTTAATTTTGTCAATAAACTTAAATGTCAAAATTTCATGTCAAAAATCCTGACCAATTAAGAAACAATAATACGACATACGTTTTCGTATTCAAAGCAATCTTCGATTGGTTTTTTTTTGAAGACCCGAGTTCGTTTTTGTCATCTTTTTCGTCGATTTGCTCCGAAATATTGACAGGCACGTGACTGGGTAAGACAGTTTCAATTTACAAATCACGTGCCTGTCAAAATTTCGGAGCAAATCGACGAAAAAGATGACAAAAACGAACTCGGCTTATGTGCTAATTACTAAACTAATCTTACACTCGGCCTCTCCTGACAGATGTCGCGTCCTCACAACTTAGTTATCAGAGGTTTCTGATA